GACTTCTGCTGCTTAATGAGTTTCTGGCACACAGCGTTTACTGCGGTAGTCTGTTTCTGGCCTGAAACTGACTCTTGTTGCCAGGTATAACCTCCTAATAAAATTCTAGGTTATGTTTTCAGCCACTGTTTGAAGATATTTTATGCTTTAGATCTAATATCCCAAAATTTAATTATCGTACTTTGTTATTAATTGGTTCTTTTTTAACAGTGGGTTAAAAAAAGCTAGGGCCCCTGCTTGAAATAGTACCAGCTTTACTTTCTTTGTGAACATTTTTCTGCTTCCCATATTTCCACCTGTGCCTCAAAATGCCTGATGTTTCTCCCCCATCCCAGTGTTAGTGACCTTTCATCTCTCAGTTGGCTCCCACCAAGGTTCATTAAGAACCTCAAAGCTCCCTTCACATCTTGTTTGCTTCCTTTCCAAGTACCCAAGAGCCCTTGTTTCCTCGCTGTTCCTTATTTTTGGACTCAGTACACTTCCTGCTCAGCAGCCAGTTTCTGCAACTCCTTCCAGTCTTCTTTGCCCCTTCAGATTTGACTGCTGGCAATCACAGTTTGATGTGAAGCTAACTGAAGTGTGTATCTTCCTGAGAAGAAAACTAGCTGAATCTGGCAACAAAATTCCAAAACAGGGAAGGAGTAACCTGGAAGTTGATTCAAGCCAGAAGAAATGGGTGGAAAAACTTGTACTGTAATCAATGGCACAGCACATGTCCAGCTTCCTAAGGCAGTGCTCAAGTGTCAGAGCAGGCAGTACGTGGCCGGTTATGTCCCCAGAGTAAAGGTGGCATGTGTATATCACCGCAGAATGTATTATCAAGGAGAATGTTTTGGGATCACTTTTGTTTCATTTCACTTCTTCTAAAATGGTTTGTGGATTTACACAAATTGGCTTTATTGCCTATAACAGATATGTAACAGCATAGCTAAGCCTCGCTGAAAAGATGATTCCAAAGTAGGTCATTTGAAATGATAATATGGTGCCTTTTTTAAGGAAACAGCCAGAACTGTTCTATTGTGATTTTTTTTCTTTTTCCAAAACGATTTGATTTTCTTTTATAGTCATACTCCAGTAACTTGTGAAATTTGTTACACATTTTAATAGAGCTGAGATTTAAAATGTTGGAAGTAGAGCATTAGGGGTGAGACAAGCTTGATAAAAACAGAGACCTCAAACTGTCTAAGGAGATACAAATTCACAGTTAATCTAAATGGGATTTCTATTTAATGTACTTCAGTGAAACATGATTCTGTCTGTGACCGTGCTTAATAGAATGGTAGCTTTTCCCTTAGGTGACTGTGGCTGTTTCCCTTAAATCTTACTTTAAATATTTTGTTCTTTTGTACCGTGGTCTAATATGGTATACAAATAGCCTTTTCATAGACTCTTCTCATTGGTGATCAATATTTAGGCTCCTTTTGCACTTAGAAGTTTTTCTTTGATATTGCAAATATTGTATTTTTTCACCTAATTTCACCTCTGAAGGGGAAACTAGAGAAAATATGAAGCTGAATTTCTTTTTAACCTGGATCTTGCTTCCACACTTTAAGGATAAAATATGTGCTCTTCGCAGAGCTGTCAGCTGTGTGATTTCTTGAGGTCCTCTTGGGTATCACCAGGCCCATTGGTGGCATTGTATCATTTTAATGGGGTGTTTGTACTGACCAGGTACTCTTGTCACTGTGTCCTGGGAGAATGGGTCCCTGGTGATATCACATCTGTGTCTGAAGTTCTGCCTTTCTGCTGGGGTGGGAGGCCTGGACAAGAGGTACTCTTTCTTGGATGCTGTGTTCACAAAAGGTCCATGATCTCAACAAGGTTTGGTCATAGAAAGAATGCTAGACAGAGAATCAGTTACTTCTGGCCAGTAACTTCCTCTGTGACCTGTGCAAATCACTTAACCTCTCTGAACCTGGCTTTCTTCTCTGAAACACGAGAGGACCTGTACTTGGTACATTTCAGTAGAGAAGAGGCCTGTAAACTTACCAGATTGTGAGCAAAGTACAACCTCAAATTAAGACATGCACGCATCCTAACATTTATCCAATGCTTGTATGGCACTGATGGCTGCCTGACAGTCTTCTAAATCCTTAACAAAGATGAAGTTGTTTAATCGCCAGGCTACCCTGGGAGGAAGGACACTCAATCGCCCCCATTTTATAGACACAGAAACACATGAGCGGAAGCAGAGGTGGGATGCACACCCGGGGTATGCCCTTCAGCCCAGGCTTAGAAACATTGTTTGAGGCTGGCACTGACCTCTACCATGCATCCTTTTCCTGGTGGCCTTAAAGAAGGGGCTTTAAATTGCCATGTTGTGCAGGAGTCACAGAAATACAGAACTGCTTCTACAGTGATAGAGAAGAGCTCAGTCTATTTCCTGAGCCTCACCTAGAAAATCTCTGACAAAACCTGTGTTTTATTCTTTACAAGATTCACCAGAAATACCGGCCCTAGAGAGATGAGGGAGAAAATGCAGATACCTGAGGCTCTGGCTGCAATTAGAGCACGAGAGTAGGTGTTCGGAATCCTTAGTTGCCTGATTACTGATTTTACTTATGCATAAATACAAGTTGCTGAGCTAAGCAAAAATTAATTGTAATAGATTCATTTAATCAGAATGCAGCCAAGTTAGACTTGTGAGAGCTTTGAACTTGCAGATGAGGCTGTCCCTGGGGCTACCTGTCTGACTGCAGCATGATGCCTGACCCACTTACCAGCTCTGGACAAGATGGCTTCGAAGTCTCCCAGGACACAGCCACACACTGAAGCTGACGAGTTGCCTTTCATAACCTGAGGCTCATTCCTGGGGCATCTGGAGGCCATGTGTCACCTAATGAACTCTTGCCCGTGGCTGCAATTGTCACCTCAGCAGGAGTCACAAGATTCATTGTGAATCACTAAACCCGGAATCCTTAACAGTGAGGTGGCAGTGGTCTGGTCTGAAGACTTGTTGTCTGAGGAAGGCAAAGGTCTGATCCAGAGGCGTTTTGTCTGGTGGAGGGCAGGTGGCCATAATTGGCTCAGGAGCCCCCATGACTTCTCAGGACCTCTGCTCTTGTGGTATCTGGAAGCATGCATGTGAAGGTCTTTGTGGTGTGATTTCATATCCTTCCTCTGGCTGGGTTAATGGTAGGAAGGAAAGGCACCTGCTTTTAACGGAAATCCTGTGTTCTCCTAGCAGGGAGCCAAGGACTAAGCCTCCCACCTACAGTCCACATGCATCATCTCTGACTGTAAAGTGAGTGGGGCAGACAGGATTTGTGTGCACTGAGACATGGCACCGCTCCCTGGTATGGCACAGTGGGATGCTGTTCCCTCCACTGTCAGACTCACAGAGGCCTGGGTGCTGTAGACTCACCCGGAAGATCCAGAAGGCTCACCAACCCTGGGACTAATGGCAGAGGGGCCTCCTTGGGATGACTTGGGGCCCCTGGGATCTGCCCTCTATGGTTGGCTCAAGTGAATGAGACCAGAGACAGTGGGAAGTCATGAGCAAGAAGCCAGCACTGCTGCTCTCTCCCAAAATGCAGCTCCCTTCACATCCCTGAGTCCAGCCTCATCACCCTTCTTCCTCTTACATTTTTCTTCTCTTTTCTGAATTCCTTTCTTGTCTTCCTGCATGTTTGCTGCCCACCTTCTATTCTCTGAACACACAGTCAGTTTCAGTTTCCACAAAAATCTCACCCGTTGTTTGTGGCTGGCATCGTCCCTGGTAGACACATGTAGCCCAGGGTTCTGTGCATTACCAGACCGCTTGACTTGTCAAGGACTGTGTGTGTCTCTCATGCCCTTAGGAGATCTGTCGTCCTTGCCGCATCTTCAGTCGTGTATCCAAAATGTTTAATTCCACTCTAAAATTTTTCTTCAGAATCAAAATCATAGAAAAGTAAGACAGGAAAAGTGAGGGGAAGATCTAGAGAGGATTTTAATTTACCTCATTTTGACATTTGTATGAGACAAGTCAGTTTCACTTTATTTTTGACTCCTAGATCACAATGTTGGCTTTTCACTGGGTTACTTTGCTTCTTTGAACTCTTCCTTAATGTCCCGGTTTCGCAGGCGTGTCCTTTCTACATGACAGCCTTCGATGTTCTATGCAGTATCTATGAAGCCTAATTTAAATTCTACTTTTAATTTCCCCCCCCATTCATGGCCTTGGTGAGGAATGCATTTTACTCACTTGAATGCTAGCCAATCTAGGAATAAGCACAGTGCCATCTGAAGTTTCACCGTGGACAGAGAGTATTTGTGGAACACCCTGGTAGGGCATTGACTGGCTGTATGTAGCAGCGGCAGCAGCAGAGTGGTACATCTGAGATTCATCCTTCACTAGCACAAAGCAGTGGTCCACAGTCAGGCACTTCCCTGCCTCATGCTTCCTCACAAACTCATAGTCTGAGTCTCCAGCCAGGTCCACTGGGCATGTCACCATCACATGCTCATCCTCAGCCTGTGTGAAGCCCCCTCTCCACTTTCAGCCTTGCCCCAGAACTCACTCTTTCCTTGTGCTGTTTTGCCTGGTCAACGCAACAGCTTCCCTATACAATCTCGACTTTCTAGAGCACTTTGTACAACTTACAGTGCAAAGGTATGGAGCAGCTGAGTAGATGAAATTAATGCACAGCAGTGTTGAGGATGGTAAGTTTTTGCATGAAACTCCTTATAAAAGATCCCATGTAAAGGAGAGCAGACAAAGCTGTGACTGTCCTCTAAGAATGGCAGAAACACACGTGTCCATAGTCAAAATGATAACTAACCATAATCTCTGGGTTGAGATTAATCAGGTGCTATTACTTCTGATCAACTTCTTGCTGTGGTGGAAAAGCATTAACACCTGCATTGCCTTCAGGACAAAGGAAGCCAAGATAAGAAGGGAAACAGTAGTTGTACTGGCCCTTCCTGACTGTGGCACGCTGTGTCCTTTAAACGACCTTGACACAGTTACGTGGATTGTTGGTATCTTCTCTGATGAATCTCTTCTCTTTTGCTTTTAGCTCGGGGACCTGCTTCACAAGTTACAGTTTGTCCTGGCCTACGTGGCTCCGTGGCAGATGGCTTGGGGCTCTTCGTTCCACGTGTTTGCTCAACTATTTGCAATTCCTCATATCCTTTCCACTTCTGTTTTCACTGCAAGCTCAGAATCCTGTTTTATGGATATGAACTTTTCAGTGAAACCAGGCAATGAAAAGAGTTAAAACTATCTATGATTATGTCTTAATGGAGACACAAAGAAGTACTTTGGATCCCTTGTAGGCCACTTAGCCTTAAAAGATGTTTCATAATTTTGAGCTCTTCCTGCTTTTGAGGGCTTACTTGGGAATTATTTTTATCTTTCTTCCATTTCCACGTCCAGATTTTCATTAAGAAAGCTGGTCTTGCTGGGCATGGTGGCGCATGCCTGTAATCCCAGTGCTAGGGAGGCTGAGGAAGGAGGATCGCTGTGAGTTTGAGGTCAGTCTGGGCTACATAGTGAGTTCAAGGCCAGCTTGAACTAAATAGTGAGACCCTGTCTCAAAAATACAGAAGAACCAAAGAAAGCTGGTCTTTGAAATGGAAAGTAACTACCTAAATAATTGGGTTGACCTGTACAAAGTAGTATAATTAATTTGTCATTATTAATTCCTGTGGATAAGGTTGATGCATTCAATATATTGTTGTACTTATGATGATATAGTTATTGTATATATACTCCATTAATATTGGAAACCTAGAATTCTTTACAAACAGAATTACTCAAATGTTTGTGAAAACTGAAAATAGAAATTATGACTTTATTTTGTGGTTGCTATTAGCCAAGAAGGCTTGGTTCCCATGTATATTTTTTGTGTGTTTCCATGACGAGAATTCATTTTAATTCACTTCAAGGCAAACTTCAGATGACTCTTCTAAATACCACTTTGACATAGCTGAATTTATGTTCACATGTGTGCCCTATGGAGAGATAGAGAGACACTGACTAAAAATACTCTTGAAGAGAGAGATTAGTAGAAAATTTCTTGACTGCATCCTAAAATTTGCCCTTAAATGTTTCCTATCCCCTTGAATTCATGCTTTGTAGACCCATGTTTCCAAGTTGTGACTTAGGTTCCACTTCTACCAGAATACCTGGAAGAAACTTGTTAAATGATGGGCTCCTGGGCCCAGGGCACATTTCAAATAAAATTTTATGTGTGGACCCTGGGATCTGCACCGTAAGAAGCCTGCTTGGTTCTTCTTGCACCCACTGGTGAGTGTGACGTTCTAAGCTCTGGCCACCCATTCTGGGTACTGCTGGCTGCTCCATCCACTCTTGAGTATTGCTAGCTGCTTGTAATGACTGAGTGGAGCTTCTTCCACATGAAATTCACCTAAGACCATTAAGACAATTCCTAAGGAACCTCAGGGACTGAACTTGGTATTCAAGGATGGAAACAAACTTGGAAGAATCATAGAGTCATAAATATATTCTAGCATTTTAAAAAATGCTCTCTTCCAGGATCATTTGTTTAAAAAAATTTTTAAAGCAAATCAAGAGCTGACCTCACGTTGTTCTGTGTTTCTATTCTTAGGCTGGCATTGATAATTCTAAAGTGTTTCAAGGTTATTTGACAGAACAAACTAAAGGGAAAAAAGTACTTGCAAGGGCATGAGCTCTCATACCACCTTTTCACTCTAATTTCACTCTTTTATATATATATATGTATGTAATGCTAGGCATTTAGTTTCCCTAAACCAGCTTCTTTAAACAAAGATAACGTAGGTAAAATTCTGAGTCCCAGTAATATCACAACTGGTTGAGCTTGCTGTGGATGTTTTTTTTTTTTTGGTTTTTCTCCGCTACCGGGAACTGAACTCACGACCTTGTGCTTGCCAAGCAGGCGCTTTGCCGCTGAGCTAAATCCCCAGCCCCCGCTGTGGATGTTAATGTCCCACAGCTGAACTGAGGCTGTTGTGGGCACTGTGACTTTCTGTTGTCTGCCCTGTCTGAGAGTGCGGTTCCGTGTAAGCTCATGTGCTCTCTACTTGGGAGCTCCAGTAAGGACAAAAGCAGCATTAGCCTCAGCTTGCACACTGTGTGCAGTTAACTGAACGGCATTCTTAAGGTGTAGGTGCATTCTGTTGAGAAGTTAAAACATTACAGATGTAGATTTTATTGGACATTTGTTGTTTCTGTTCTAGAACATTCCACTGCTCCTCATGCTTCATTCCTAAAGCTGGCCTTGTTAGTGACGTTCTCTTCCTCCATTCTGCTAGCACAGGGGCTTTTGACCACCCACCCCACGCAGGACCACTGCCCTTGCTTTGGTGTTTCTGGGCCTTTCCTTTTCCCTCATCTGTAGACACTTCGCTATCCTTGCTTAATTGCAGAGGTGGTATTTGCTAGCTAGAGTTCACCATCATTCTGCTCAGAATATGAGATAAATAGTTGCAGAACTGGATTTATATGCAGACAAGACAAAACTATCAGGTTGCTAAATGTCATCCCTGGATCCCAACTAATTCAGAAACGTTAATTATTTTATCACTCTATTAAGAAACTGTGGACTCCATCCCAGCATTGAGAATGGACTAATTTGCTCCACTTTGGAATTGAATTAGCTCTCGGACCAGCGGGGCACTGGTAGGTAAATTGCTTTTTCCAGTACTGGCATGTTTTCTCCCTCAGTGCCTCTGTTGGCTTCTGAGCTTATAACCTCCAGGGAAAAATGAGAATGTCCACCCTTTTAATATGTGTAGAGACCATGCAAGACCATTGTCTCCCAATAATTAGACAGACCTTGCCACATTATCCCTGTTAACTGCACACGGTGGGAAGGCTGCTTTCCACTTGCCACAGCCTTTGGAGCTTCTAATGATTTCTTTAATGATTGATGTTGCTGTTTTCATTTTACATCTGCTTTTAAAGGAGTCACCGTCCCTGGCAGGCTAACCTCTTGGCCCTTTCTCTTGGGGAAATCTAGAAAGGGCTTCATGTGCCCCTGCTCTCAGGCATGCCCTCAGGCACTCCATACCTGTGCTGTCACAGTCCCTCCTGTCCTCCCTGAACCTGCAGTATGTCTTCATCAGTGTTCCCCGGTGAGAGACCTTCAGAGGCTACTGCTTCCTCCTGTCCTTCCCTCCTGCCATGGCCTCCTCACCAGGCTCAGCTTTGTGTGGACTACTACTAGTTTCCTATCTTCTTAACTTCTGCAAAATTGTTTTGGGCATTTTAAAAAGGTACAATATAGGGCCAGGGATATAGCCCAGTGGCACAAATGCCTGCCTGGAAAGTGAAAGGTCCCGTGTTCAATTCCCAGTACTAAAAAACTTGTATAATATAATCTTGGAGGGAAATTTTAGGATGCAAAGAGCAATGCTCACTCTCCTGGTGCCATCTGTGCCCAGTACCACTCCAGGCACCTCTGGCTCCATGGGAGGCTTTCCTCCCCTCTTTCCCAGCACCTCCCCAGGGAGGGCGAGGCATCTGAGCAGACTCTACCTTCTCAGGTTTCTTCAGGACTTCCGACTCCATGCCGTGTTCTTGGACTCCATGTTCTTTTCTGTTCTTCAGGACAAGGGACAGCAGATGTTATCAGATGAGTACCTGCACTTTCCTCATGGCTAAAAGCTGAAGATGTCTAAGTAGTTCTGTCCAAAATATAGGTGTTTCAGCAGTCAGTTATATACCAGTCAGTAGTTTTCCCTTTGGACCTAGATCAAAATAAGAAAAATTGTGCTCAAATTACAGCATAGTAGAGAACTCTTTCATACCAAACAATTCAACACCAGAATGGGCTATTAATGGCCATCATTTCACTCCTGAAGGTGTTTGGGGTGGGGAGGGAGGGAAGGAGGAAGACAGGGAAGTAAGGAGCAGGGAGGCAGGAGGAGACATGGGTACTCTGAGGCAAAATTCTGATCTTCAGTCTACCAAGAGGTATGGGAAAGTGTCTGTGGCAGTGCAAGGTTCACCCCACTTCTGGGTTTTCTATGTAATTGGGGTTCTTTAAGGTCCCTGCTTCATCCCCACCCCAATCACAACACTTTAAGCAATGCCAGTGACAGAATGCCAGAGCTCGTGGAAGCCCGAGGTATCTCCATGCTCCACTTGAACAGTGAGCTGCAGAGTCTCCCTGTACCAAGTGTAGCCTTTTTCTACCTGCCAGAACTTCTGAGCTCTGGCTAAGGCAGGGAGACCCATTTGTGCACCATCCAGAGAGGCAGTCACCACCTATCAGGAGGGAGGGTAGCCATACAGGAGTCAGGCAAGGTGTGCAGTAGGTGACCCAGTCCCCCCACAGAACATGGAAGGACATGCATGTGTCAGGTCCAGCTGGTCCAGCCTCTACTGACCCTGTGCTCCGAGCCCAGCTCTTCCAGCCCAGGTCTCACCACTCTTGAATCTCAGGGACCAGTGCCTGGCTGGTCATGGGGAGAGCTGCTGCTCTGGCCCTTACCCTGCTTCCAGAGACCCCAGGCTCCAGCCTCCCAGCTTGACACTGAGCAATTTCAAGCAGGTTTCTCATCAGCCAGGAAAGGAGAAATGTGAAACTAAGGCATACCGGGAAAGGAGAAATTTGAGGAAGAGCACCAGAAAGGCAGCGAGACCCACAAAGCTCTGTGGCTTCATCTGCATGTTTTCTGCTCATGAGCCAGGCTTGCACTGAGCCTTTGGTGTTCAGTGTGTGACCTAATACGCAAACACACATGTGTGCCCCTCCGTGTGTGTGTGCATGCGCACACACACACACACACACACACACACACAGTGCTCCAAATATCAGGAGATTATCTGAGATGCAGAGGTGCTTCGTTACCAAACAATGTTATTATTTATTTTTTAAAAGAGTCATTTACTTTTACTTGTTTATAAAGTGACTTAATCTTGCAGCGAATGTCTTACAGTGTGTTTTTGTTTTTCAGGGGATGTCATCTTAGGTAAAGAAAATTGTTCTTCTTAGTCCTTATGCTAAATCTTTGACGTGTCTGAGCCTGAGACAGCAGGGATTTTGATGAGAATCGTCTGGTTTACAGGATGACAAAATGAGGCTTAGCAAAATGCTACTGAACATTTTATAGTTCCAAATCTGTACGTAGAGAGATTGTCCTTCCATCTCTGGGGAGAAAAATGGCTTTAGTGATGACCAGTGAAACCTGAAATGTTTTAAGATGCAGCAATGACAATTCTTTTGCCTTGACTGCTGCTTCCAGACTCTGCCATGCTCTTCTTCCAGACGTTCGCCACCGCGGTGTTCTCCACCCCGCTGAGCCCATTCCTCGGGAGCGTCATCTTCATCACGTCCTATGCCAGGCCAGTGAAATTCTGGGAGAAAAACTACAAGTAAGAGCCCAAAGTCCATGCTAACCTGTTTTGCTCTGTGTGCTGAGGGCCCTCTCCTTTCCCCTTTGGAAATTCAGACCTCAGTCTCCTTGGTGGGCCAGGTATCTGAGCCTGGTGCCCTGATGGCTCCCTGTCCACCAACTCTGCCCCTGTGAGACGGGGAACTGGATGCTGGTCCAGATCTCTCTGGTGTTGGTGACCTAGGAAAGGTGCTGGACAAGCCTGGTCTGGTCATGCGATGTGCCATGATTGCTCCTGTCTGGCACATCCCTTCCTCCTTGTGGGAGTGCACAAAAGAACTCATTGTGCACAGAGGTACATGTGTCTACACAAAGAGAACACTGTTGAATTGTAGAACATTACCTGTTTACTTTTCTCTTGACTATCTGAACTGGTCATTCATTTTCTCAGGCAAACAGTGATGGGGTAGAAGCATTATTTCTCTGTGGTTACCATTTTGTGGTGCTGGGGATAGAACTTGGGCCTTATGCAGGCCAGCCAGATGCTTTATCACTGAACTATGTGCCCAACTCAGGTATCGTTTTAAGGCGGGGTGAGAAGACAGGAGTAACTGTTCGTGAAGGAATTCTAAAGACCTCTTAATGGTTTGTGGGGGATGACTTGAGGTCAGTAGGACCACGGACAGCCATGATTCAGGCTGCACTGTGCCAGTGGAGGGCCAGGGCAATCTTAGCTCTGGTTTACCAGCTACATTGCATTGCTCCATCTGAATCCTAATCCACTTTCTATACTGCACTTATATTTTGCAGAACTTTGGCACATTCCAGTGTGCCTTTTATGTTTCAGAGTCCAATGTGAAGGTAGGAAACCCACTCCTCATGTTTTTCCTTTGAGAAGGTTTATCTGAGCATAAAATGTGTGTATCCCTCTGGGGCAGGCAGTGTGGCATTGTGATTAAAACACAGCCTTGTGCTCCAGGCTGCCTAGGTTCACACTTTGCCTCCGCCATGTAACTCTGAAGACCTCAACCTGTTTTTTTTTCATCTATAAAATGGGGATCCTGTATCAGGACCTACTTCACAGACCAGGAGAAAGCAGCTAGCATGTATGGAGCACCTAGGGCAGGTCTTGGACATAGTAGGCGTGTGCGCACCTGGCCATTGTGACCCTCTGCTAGGATGACTCCTCTGTGGAGAAGTCCCTGTCCCCACCCTGGAAGTGCTAACATGTGCTCACCATGACTGAGGACATTGCCTCCCCAGTGAGCTCACTCAGGGGCACCTCAGGGAAACTTACCAAACCAGAGCACCCATCTGAACTGGAGCTGGGAGGCCAAGGAGGTGCTCCTGCATCTTCCAAAAAAAAAAAAGGACCATTCGTAATAAAAGCAAAGTAGTCTTGAAATTTATACCTGAACAAAACAACTCCTTTGCATTTTTGTCTAAAGGGAGATACATGTTTATACAGTCAGAGTAAAGAAAACTGCCTGCATCAGCTTGTCTTTAAGCTTTATGGTAGGAGAAAACCATTTTGAGGACCATTTTGGAGCTCTGAAAGTCACTTCTGGAAAGTGCAAATACTTGTAAATAAGGGGAGTGACATTCTTGCAGACTCTTACCTGTGCGGGAAAGGACAGCACCAAACATTTTAAAACCTGATCCTCAGCTTAATAGATTTATGTTTGTCCATTATTTTCCAAAAGGAATCAGACTCTCTGGTATAGGAAGATTTGATACAATCAAAACACATCCCGCTTGAGTAGAACAAGGGACAGAGATATCTCTGTGTAGAGATTTCATTGAAGGGAAGCATCCTAATCCCTGTGGAGGGTTTGGTGTCTTCTTATTTAGCCTCCTCACTTCCAAAATTCAGCCTTCTCAGGTAATACGTTTGGGTCTGAACTCAGTTTATGTCATTTATTTAATCCTACAGGGTTCCAGAGTAGGATTTAGGTTTCTTTATTCAGTCTCACAAGTTGCTGATTCTGCCTTGACTCACTCTTCTCATCAGTGAATGACAAGTTCAGCCCTGTGTTTTCTGTGTTTTGGGCAAGGGGTGTATCTTGAGCTGGAAGGGGACATCAGAGTCTGTGGGGACACGCATGTAAGGTTGTCAACCAAGTTAAACATTTTCATTTCCACTCAGGAAAGAGTTCTTGGTGCATAACTCAGTCTTTGGAAGGCCTGTTGTCCTCTGGAAGGCATCAGTATTGGGAATCCCCGGGCCATCTGCATAAACCATCAGTGGGTGGAATTCGGGAAGGTGGAGAGGTGGGTACCAGGAAAGACAATTCCAGGAAATCTCATCTGGGCTCTTGGGAGCACTCTGGAAAACTCATACTAGTTATTTTAACCTTGGGTTTGTATTCTTTAATTTGAAATACTAATGAGTTTATATGTAGCTATTCTAATTACTTTCTTTCCAGTCTGCTACAAAGAAGCAATCAGTTAGTGAAAGTGATTCTGCGTATTTATCCTTGTTCCACCACTTTAAAGGAGCTGCCTAAGAGACTCATCCTTGTGAGCACATTTGCCACAGGGAACGGCCACTTCTGGGCTGGGGTGTCAGAAGTTGCCTGCTTTCCCCGTCATGTCCCTCCTCTCCCTGTCCATTCCGCTCCCTCACTTTGCAGTCCCTCAGTGTTTATTTCAGGTCTTTGATGCTAACTTTGAGGTGTGTAGATATCTAGGGAGCCCTGCACTGTGAAAAAAAAGCATCTTAATCCTGGAGGAAACGTAAAGTGGCTCTCCAGCCACTTGGGAGGCATTGCTGTGCCATTCCCCCACTGGCATGTCTCGGAACCTACAGACTCCCTGTCCCTAGATTTTGTGCCCATTGGGGCGTGTGATAGACATGTCCCCTGCCTGCTTTCTTACCTTAGCCTCCCAACTAACTTGTTAGCTAATCTCTTCCCTTGCGTACTTTTAGCTTAGCTCTCAGCATGTCATCCTTCTGGAAAGCTGCTGAGCGAGAGTGAGGCGGAGACCCACACAGAGGACTCTGTTCAGGGAGGAGCTCTGGATGATGGGCATGCCCTATGTCTGCCCTTCCATCAGGGCGGACACCAGCCACACGGTTTACATAGGAGCCCTTGAGGTGCAGCTGGCCCCTCCATTTCTCCTTCATTGTGATGATTTGTGTGAGGAGCCCCTATGGGCAGCACACTTTCCGGCCCACCTCTCACAGACAGGTTCCATCCAGCACAGACAGGGCTTCTCCCTTCACACATTCCCTTGGCCGTGCCCTTCACACTCACCTTTTCTCTCTCCTGCTCATGTCTCCTGTCTCTCTCTCCTGCTGAGCACAGTGCCACTTAGATGGCAACTCTGCCATGATGTTGCTCCAGTCACCCAACTAGATATTATATTTCGCTTTTCCTAAATTCCAGTGACAAGGCCAACCACTGCAAACTGTAGTATCAAAATGACCATCAACCATTTATCATATCCCAACATTGCTATAGGTAAGGAATTGTGCAAGGCTAGGCTGAAGGGAGGCTGTAAGGTCTCCTCTGCTGTTGCAGTCATGAGATTAGGGGGCTGGCAGAGCAGAGACCCTGCTGAGGGCAAAAGGGAGGCTCCATCCCTGTTCAGGTCATCACAGAGCCTATCTAGGGGTTGTCCAGGCACTCTGCATGGTGGTTTGGGCTTCCCAGAGTGTGGCGGCCTCTGGGGCCCCAGCACAACTGTCCTAGTGAGTAAGGTGGAAACTACACTATTTTTTTCTAACCTGCCTCAAAAGCTCCACAGCATCATCCTGCCTCATCCTGTCACAAACTCCCAGAGTCAAATGGAGGGGACTCATCCCACCTTTGGAAGGATGGCTCTCTATCCTTCCTCCATGGCTATGTTTGTCTCCCTTCCCTATATTTTTCTCTTCTCTCATTCACCTTTTAACACAGCATGTCTAGATATGTTTCTTGCAACCTTCCTGGAGACCTTCCTGCGATGGTAGAACACAGTCAGGTCACCAAGTGAAATGACACGGTTATACATCATGGGACAGCAGTGCACAGCCAGCATTCTGTGAGAGCCCCATACATATGAGTTTTCCTTCCAGTGCTGTTTATTTTCACACCTTGGCCATTCACAGAGCCCCAGTTCTAATCTTTGAGCATCACAGCTGCCTCAGTGGAATAATAGGATGGCTAAGCTCCACTATTTTATGGTTTATCTAGTAGCAAAATATATGGTAGAATATTCCAGCTAGCTCAGTGAGCTCTGGTGAGTTTTACAGGGTTACTTTCCAATCCCTTCTTGGGTTTGCTTTATGCACAGCTGTGTCCCATAGAGCCATAGCATTTTTCCTGTTTTCCGGGGAAGAGAGGCAATCAGCAGCATACACTTCGGTGGACAGGTCTGTGTCTCATTGCGCTGAATCTTCCACAGGCCCCTGAATGTACTCACCAATCTCTCCTGAACAACCAAGCATGAGGCTAAACAGTCTTAAAAATTCCTTATAAAAGTGATATAGACTTTGGGTATTCTCGCTGCCCTCATCCAGACGCTCCTAGGTTTGTTCCTAGTCTTCTTCCTGACTTCGTTCATGGCCTTCTCCTGATGTCATCTAGTCAGCTTGCAATAGGGGAACCTGTGCTTCTATGAACCAAGCGTTCTTATCTCTTTATGCCTCTTAAAAGCTAGAACTTCTCACTTATTTTACCAAATGGTGGCCAATTCAAGCCTTCAGCATCCCAGTCTTACAGGACTGTGTAATTTACTGAAAATAAGAATTTGCACTTCATCAGTTCTCATCGTACTGGATTTAAGCCAACATTCCATCGTGCCATTCCCCTCTCTCCAGTCTCCTTGCTTTGGCTGCAGACAGCCTTATCTGTCACCGCCTGGGTCTTTATTTATGCCTTGCCAGTGATGACAAACAGGAAGGACGGGGTGCCTAGCTTGATTTGGGCAGACAGACAAAGTAGTTCTGAATTTTGAAAGATCTTCAGAATGGATTTTGCTGGATGTTCTGTTTTAAAGGTGGCTTATGCAAAACACTGAGCTTCTCACACAGCTCTTTGTTTCTTAAGTTTGAAA